TCGGAAAAAAAAAGAAAAAATTTTTTTTTTTTTTTTTTTGGGGGCCCTAAACCTTTTTGGTTTTAACTTTTTTTTTTTTTTTTTTTTTTTTAAAGAACCTATAGATAGATAGAAACTTTATTCATCCCTTTGGGATTTACCCTCAGGGAAATTGTAGACATTATATGACATTTAACCAAAGGTACAAACAGTGACATAAGATATTTGCCACCGTTTTCACAGAGTCTGCGATTGCATTGCACATTTCCTCCCCCATGAAATAAGGAATCTTTAGAACACACCGCATTTTATTTTGCAGCTGCAGGACTCTATTCACATTGCAAGAATGGTGAATCAACCATGGTGCTGTGTATTATCTGCTACTTTTCAGAATGTGACTCAATATGACTCATGATTTTCAAAAGAAGAAAGAAAAAGCTGTCAACAGACACAGGCTGGCAGAGTCAATGTTGTGGAAATCCAGTGGGAGCTGACTACATAGGTGGCTTTGAGACAAGGTGACACAAAAAGCCAGTTTACGATGGAGCTGAAAATCCAGCTTGGATGTTAAAAGGTTGCTCCAAAGACGAACAGTCAGCAGAGCTTGCAATAATTCAGGTGTGTCTGTCTGGCTGGCTTCCGTGGAGAAAAAATAAATAAAAACAGATTAAAGATGTAAGAGGGTTAAAAACCAGAGCAGGGAACATACTCAATTTTCAATTATTCCCATATCTGTCTGTTAGTCTGACCTTTTCAGTCTGGCTCTCTGTCTGACAGCCTGCTAAATCTCAGCCATTGATGTCTGGAATTGTAATATGAGCACAGAGTAAGAATACGAGATTCAAGGATCCACAGGTGCAAAACATCCTTTTCAGATTAGATCAATTTGATTTGCTATTAAGCAGATTGCACATCAGGACACATCAGTGTTTCTCGTCAGCTCGCATTGATCTGAGCGCATGGAAACATGCGAAACTCACGCCGTGTCCTGCACTTGCTCATCAGATTTCGAGATCTTCTTGTAGCAGTAGACCATTTCCACCAGCAGCCACAAGGTCAAGAACACCAGCAGGACATACATCATGATCTCAGAGTAGATTGCGGTGGTGTCATTGGAGGCTGCGGAGCACAAACAGCAGATAGGCACATGCTTTATTTAGCACACATTCATTTTCTGCACCATTTTTTGTGAAGAATAACAAAACAGACTCTGCTGCAGCTCTGAGGAAATGTCCTGAGTTCGTTGAACACGGCTCGCACAAAATCTCGCAAAGTTTATGACGAAGAGGACAAGATATCAGCAGGATACTTATTTGACTAAATAAAAAGTTCACTTTAAGTATTACCTATTCATGTTTAGTCCTTGTTTTGTATTTTTATTTATGCTTTTCTTGTTAACACTGCTATTAACATAGAGCATTTTACACATTGGATCTTTTAGCTTGGTGCTAATTAGAAAGTGATTGAGAAATGAAGGTGTTTGTCATTTTAAAGAGGCAGTGGGAAGAGCATAAAACATCAATTATTCATTTAGTAAAGTGGAGGTAATAGTAAAGGTTGTTTTCATATTCCACTAGCCCCTACTGATAATGACAAAATGATCTAAACCTGCTGTCTCGACGTTCTTTGCAGCAACTCGGCTCGATGAAACTAAATTTCCCACTAAATATTCTGCTGCCAAATGCAACCCGGTCTGACAGCAAAATCCCAAAAAAAGAAAAAAAAAACAAAAAACTGAATTTATTGGAAACAGTTTCCAGATGTTTTCCAGGCTAATGGCCACAGAAATGAATGCACTAGAAGAGGACTGCTTGTCAGCACATTTTCGTGCCATCAGCACATTTTCAGAAACACT